AACACAGATGTTGCATTTGCAGATATCATATTTATAACACTATTTTTATCAATTTATTTTCTATCAAAGATAGAAAAACATTGTCTAATTATTTGCCTTAATAGCCTGTACATATGAAAAAAAAAATCTTTTTGATTTAAAAAGGATTCTCCACAAAAGTAAATTTTCATGCAAGCAAAAATTATCAGACCAGAGAAAAAGATTACATAAAAATCAACTTTCAGATGATTAAAAATAGTTTGGTTTTTAAGCCAAATATTTTGAAGACTTTTAATGAATACTAAATACTTTCAGGCTGTCATCTGCACACAGAAATCTTGTTTTCCAATAGTTCTGTGTTTTGGATGTGTACCAAAGCAAACTGGATAGACTCCTTTCTAACTGATGCAATGGAACGACCCTTAGCTTTTTCATCCATGGTAATCTGGTGTTTTAATATCATCTAGGTGGCAGAGGAATGATTTAGAACCCACCTCAGTTGTGGGTGAGAAAGCTTAATTCAGTGAAAGTAATATTTGGTACGGTTTGTGTCTTCTTCAGAAAATTACTGTGCACATGCACTTCCACAGCCATGGAGGACTCCAGTGATCATCTATTCCATCTCCCTGGCCAAGGCAGCTCAGCCAGAATCTAAGCTAGGCAGCTTCTTTGTTCCTAAAAACCTTCAGAGATTCTACCATCTCCTTCATTGCCTTATATGGTGAAAAATAAATGAAAGCCTTAAATGTTCACCACAGCATTAAGAGAATAATAAGCTGGTAATAAATTGGAAATATCTATAAATGGAGATTTGGCTGATTAGCTCAGACATAGACATCTGTTGCTGATGTTAGGTTTTAGGTCAAACGGAACCCATTCTAACGTTCCTACAGAAACGAAATAAAATACAAATCAAATTGCCCTGCTATGCCTAGCATGACCAGCACACTGTTAAGCTCTAAAGTAAAAGGTTGTCAGGTTTACTTCTCCGATACTTAACTGATTAGACGTTTGTCTCCTTCTTTCCTGGATTCCTCTATTTTTAGCTAATTCTTCATATGCTAAAATTCTTCTAGGCAGTGAAGTAACTTGTATTTCATGCTAATATTTTGTCTTCTAAAGCACACCTGAAACCACAGTTTTAAGCAGTAACATTTTATTTGTCCTGGCTATGACAGGAGAATATCACAATTTTCAAGCACTGGTATTTATGCTTCTTGTGATCTATTTCATCTATTTTGTATCTAATTCGAGTCTACAATAACTACGGACTTTTTTTTTTTTTTTTTGCTGTTTTCCTGACTCCCCACTATGGTCATTCCTTTGGTAATTCTGCATAACTAGTTCGGCAGTGTATCAATAGAACTTAATCTGTGTAAATTCATTTTCATCTTCAGGAATATGAAATACTCCTAATACAAAATACTCCTAAAGATAAAGAAAGAAACATTAATTCTCAGCTGGCTGAAACTGCACTGCTGCAAGACATTATGGTATTATGTCAAGAGTGACAGGAATGTTCTGACTCATCTATGACATAAGTCATTAGCATTCATCACATCTAAGGTATATTCTAATAAAGATCTCTGTACTGCCTTGTCTATCTTCGCCCATACTACTACAGGAGATCTGATTCTGCAATGAGAAAATCCACTAATCTAGGTATCTTATTTTTCACATGGATTTGCCTTGACAGATCTTAGAAAAAAAACAGAAGGAAATCTCCCTGCTTAATGTGTCAGTAAAGGAGAAAAATGGGGTTTGCCAGTGATAATGACATAAATCCAAGTTTTGGGGAAGCGTGCTTTCCCCACAGATTCTCTTTGATGACTGTTTGCGTTTTTTCCTCTCTATTCAATTTCTGTATTTTAATTTTTTTTATTTCTGAAAATCAAGCTGAACATTTTTGGTACAGGGAAGAGAATTTTCAAGATATTTTATCTCCAGTGCTGCACGACTTTTACTACAGAAAGCCTGCTCAGAGGTAATATGTAAAAGCTCAAATCACCTAACCTCTACTAGTACTGAACAAAAGACCTGCTCATTTTTATATCACATTCCCCAGTGCAGCCTGTGTCAGAAATGTTCCTCAAGTTATCCTGATGGATACATACAAAAGTTGTTTTTCTTAGCAAGCATAAGAATCTGTCTTGTAGCCCAATAATCCCACACTCTACCTGTATTTTACCTGTTTTTATTTCTCTCCATAGATTTACAAGCAGTCCTGTTTACGTGTTGCCATAACGAATTTCAGTTGGCCAAAAAATAGCCTTTTCAAGAAACACGTATCCAAATCAGGTGTATGTATGTGTCTAACAATAAGCTTTATATAGGAAAGCTTTACACAGCCCTAGGACTTTCACAAAAGTAGCTGATTGAAAAAGGACAAAGCTTTTGAACCTGCACATCTTCCTCTTTCCCTAGTGAGATTTACACTATAGTACTGGCTTATAACATTGTCAGAGCAAACCTCACTGCACAGCCATCACCCACCAAGATTAAACTTGGGAAATGGTCCCTGAAGACACTGGCATAATGATGAAGTTTGTGGGAAAGGAAGGTGAGGGAGCTAGAGACATCTTAGGAAATGAATCACAGCAGACCTAGAATGACAGCCAGCAAGCAGTGTGACAAAGCAGGCTACTGCTACCACCTGCTTTCTCCTCTTGGGTTCCTCTCTCTCCCCAGTCAACAGAAAAAGAAGCAAGCCATGTGCTTGTGATGAATTCAAAAGAAAAGTTCAGGGAGGAAATGTGGCAAAGAAAACAGATTTCAAGATGCTGCAGAAAGGAAGCAGGCAGGAGGTCTATCTGACCCTGCTCTGGGAAGGGAATGCAGCCATTAGCTCCAGCTCTGCATTTCACCTGTGAGACACATCTAGTTGTACCGGCCACGGTCCATTATTCCAGAGGTTTATAGTTCCTTAAATACTGTCAGGCCAGTGCCCAGGACTAGCATTCCAACCAGCTAGTCTGTCTAATCCTCTTCAAAATCCATGCTGTTTTTGCCCTCAGCAATAGCAAATGCAAAAGACAGTAGTCTGGACAGAAGAAATGGAACACTTTCTCAACTTCGCTTCTGCCTGCATTTTAAATCCCACAAGAAAAACAGTAAGAGATGAGAGCTGGCATTTCCCTCAATCTTCCATTTTATTATACAGTAATTAACTCACATTGATACATTTGCTTATATAAAAACACCAATCTTTATTCCAAAAGGAGTGTTTAGTTTAAAAGTCACTCTGTGCACTTGGATTGTCAGACCAGTTTTCCAGGGAACTGTTTTTTTACAGTTTTCCAGGGACTGGACCCTGCAACCCCATGTCTGCAGCCTTGCCCTGCTGTCACACTTTTGTGTAGTCAGATCCATGTTCCTGCTCCAAGAGGCCTCGGAAGCTGTCATCTTCTCTCATCTGCAGCTCTCAAGGGAAGCAAGTCCTAATAAATCAATGCAGAAAGGGTTAATGGGTGTCAGGAAGCATGCCAGTGCATCATAGAAGCTTGCAAAGTCATTAAATCAACGTGGGAAAAAAAAAAAAAAGTCTCCAAAAAAAGGAAGAAATTGTGGAAGAGTATGCTTTACAGAAATTATAACTGATAAGAGATTTCAATTTCTTCCCAACACTCCAAATTTCTTGTTTCAGAACATTTTTCAGCAAAAATACCTCCAAAACCTGAAGATTCCAGAAACATGCATAATACCTCTACCGCACTCCATCAAAACCTGTTACCACCATGTTGTAGTAGAGCTGTTCTCACTTTTGTTACCAGGTCATAAGCTAACTTGCTAAGAACACCCAGCCACCAAATAAAGCCAGGCAGACTCTTCACGTCCCCCCAGCCAAATTGTGTTTCTTTTTCTGTAAGGCTCTCTTAAGACTTCACCAGTCTCAGCCTCACACATGGTATTTAAGGGCCTGATAGATACTCGTGTCCTGCCTCTACAATCAGAACCAATTTTATTGACACCTCTCTAACACATGCCCTCCTAAAACTCACACTAAACACAGAAGAGAAAGACAACTCTGCAGCGCAGTAAAAGGTCTGCCCCATCTTTTTCTAACGCTCCACCACAGTTGCACCCATTTGTACCACCACTGCAGGCACAAATACTTTACTTTTCATGGCCTATACATCTCTCTGGTCCTTACTTAGCTACTGTTAATTAGGACACACCTGGCACTTGTATCCACCATCCCATAGCACTGGTCTGGATGGCTTCTTAGCTTGCTTCTGGCACCTACCTTCCATTTCTGCATGCCATGTACTTGTGCCTGCTACACTTCTTCCTCTTTCACAGCAGTACCTACAGGAACTGACTCACAGTAACATATGTACCAGTATTTATTACCTAAAGATAAACAGAGGCCTGTCCAGACACAGTACACACACCTCAAAAGCATGATTCTTTTGCTGCAGCCTTGTGGTGTCATGTCACACCCTCATGTCAGAGCCACCTCGGGTTGTGAGCTCCTTTGTGCAGGGAATAAGTCACTTCACTCGGCACTGCACAGGGCCCAGCAGACTCCAGCACCCTGCGAGATGGTACTTTGTGGTGTCAACCGAAGATCGTAGCTACTTCTGACAGCCGCCACCTCCACCCCGCGCACTGGGCTTAGCTGCGAGGCCGGGACTGACAGCACCGAGGGTAGACGTGGGAGTCCAGAGAGCCCAGGGCAGCCAAACCGCGGTGAGCGCAAGGCCGGGCTGGCAGCCCCAGGTAGTAGCACGCGCGCTGCTAGGGCTCTGCTGCCGCCAGACCCGTCCTCCCCGCAGCCCGCAGCACGCAGCAGCACCCCTAGCCCCGCATCACACGAGGCTCGTACCGGGGCCCAACGCGCTGCTAAAGGGGGCGGGCGGCGACGGGCACCGCCCCTGGTCTGTCAGCGGGCGGAGCTCCGGGACGGAGAAGGGGGCGGCCGCCGATAGGGTTGGAGCCCGCGCCGGGGGCGGGGCGGAGCGGAGGCAGCGCCGGCGGCGGGCGCTGCACCTCCTAGCACTAGGTCGGCGAGCGCAGCCGGGGTGAGGTGAGCCCGGGCGCTCTGCGGAGAGCGGAGTCGAGGCGGCGGCGCGGAGGGAGGTGGCGGCGGTGCAGCCGCTGAGGTAAAGCGGGTGCTGCTGCGGCCGCCTCGCGTGGAACGGACCCGGGGGGAGCGCGGCGCCAGTCGCGGGAGGAGGGCAGGGCGGTGCGGGGCCGTGTGCGGCCGGGGGCCGGCGGAGGACTGGCTGAGCGGGAGCCGTCCCCGCGACTTTTTCCCCCGTCCGAAGCGCCGGATTGCCGCCGAGCACCGCGGCGCCGCAGGCCCAGGGCAGGGCGGGCGGACGGACGGCGCCGTGCCCCGGCGGCGGCGGCGCTTCTCCCCCCGCGGCTCCGCGCTTCCTGGTTGAGCTCTGCCGGCGGTGCCGGGGCGCGGGGTGAGGCCGGGCTCTCCCGCGGCTCCGGGTGCCGGCAGGAAGCGGCCGGGAGGTCAAGCCGGTGGCGCCGAGCGCAGCGCCAGCCCGGCGTTCGGCGCCTGTCTCCGCGCCGGGGGTAAGTGGCCCCTGCGGAGGGCCGTCCTGCGGCGGAGCTGCCCCGCGGCTGCACGAACCGCAGCGGCGTTGCTCTCCTGCTCGGCGTTGCTGCTGTTGTGAATGGGTTCCCTGAAGCGGTCTTTACGCTGCCCGCTTTCTCGCATAGCTGTGCTGCCCCTTCGGCGGCTTTGAGATGCTTCAGAGTGGGACGTGCTTTGCAGGATCCTGTGTTAAGTTAATGCCTTAGTTGTCTGCATGTTGTTCAGCGGTAGGGTCTCCACGGGCTTTAAAGCTGTATTTGAAAGGCTGGAATTTGCTTACGGAGTTGCGTGTGTATTTTTCCTAATACTTCAGTGACTGTCTCGAGCATCATTTTCTTGCAGAGAATGCTGCTCGCTGTGGCATTGCCGTAGTTACCTCCTTTTGGGGAGCGGCAGCATCGCTAGAGATGTTACAGGTGTGTAGACACCTAGTGGGGAGAACAGGCGGGCTCCGAGCGCGGCGGCAACAGCTGGTGCTCCAGTGGCTCCCTTAGCGTGCTAGTTAGGTAGCCTTGAATTTCAACAATGCAATAGCTTTGGAAGGAAAGTTACTGCTTTCCTGGAAGTATTTGGAGTAAGTATTAGGGGACCAACAATCAAGAGTGAGACAGGACAGTACAGCGAGGTATGGATCATTATATGTGACAATTGAAAAGTGAAGAAAGTCCTTACTGCCTTACCAGAGGTGCGCAGTCCCTCTGGCTGGACAGCAGTAGTGTGGATCCATGGAGCAGAAGCTGTTTTTTCTTCTCTGTCCCCAAAAGAATGCTGGTGTGGGAGGAAATGCTCAGGTACCAGCCATGTGGGACCCAAACATCTGAGCAGGGGGAGAACCTTCTATGTCTCATTCCTTTTCTACTTGAATTTACACAAACCTCTTGCAACTTTCTGGTGAATGTTAAAATCTCAGTCTGTCAGCACGCGTGACATAAATCATTTCATTGTGACCAGAATTCTGCCTGAAGTTGGGAATCTTTCACTGCGATCAAGCTCTTAGTAAATAAAAACCAAATGAACGCTTGATTCTTTTACAATGCTTCCTCCTCCTTTTCCATTCCTCCCGCCAACTGGAAATCCAGTAATACATCATCTCAAATATAATAATGTTTCTTGCCTAAAGTGTTTGGTTTGGGGTTTTTTTGCTCTACTTAGGATGATCTCCAAGCTATTTATTTTAAGAGTAATTAGCTTAAATCAGTTTGAGACAAAATGTCTGAGGGCAAAGACCGTGTAAGCCCCACTCAGAGTAAAGAGAGTCTGTTTATAAAGAGAGTCTTAGCAGAGCAGAAAAGAACAGGAAGAACTTTCCAAAAGGGATTTTTGGAGACACAACAGCATTGCTGCTGGAGGAATGCTCTTTATCCATCCATGTACCATACGGCTGTCTGCAAAGTTCTTGGAGACACCAAACTTCACAGGCGCTGATAATATAAAAGAGTGCGTGAGTGTTGGATCGGTCAGAGGTTCAGATGTGGGGACCCTGTACCTGGGGCAGTGCTGAGCAGTGTGTATGGACCAGAGCTGCGGCTCTCAGTCTTTGATTTGGTGGATTTGGGGAGGCTTTGCTGCCATCATTGCATGGAGTTGTTCTGGAATGCAATTATGTCACGCCTTTTGTTCTTACAGTTTTTGAATTTTTAAAAATAAGCTTTAAAAATGTCATAAACTCTTTCTTCTGCTATTGCAGCATTTCAAATTCTGCATCGTCAGACCAAATGCAAGACGTACAAATACTCATTTTAAATATCTGTCCATAAAGTTGCTATGATACATTTGATAATAAAAGATCAGAGGCGTAGGTCAAGTCAGTTAAATTATGCAGTGTTTAGACGACGTATTTGGTTAGCAGCCAAAACGCCTGTAGGCAGTAGGAATAAAATGAGTACTTGTAGCAGGGCACTTGTTGAGCCCTTCTTGAAAAGAAAATATTTCTGAATATTTAGCGTAGTAGAAGAAGTAGCTTTTTAGCAGGTCTTGCTGTGTGCTGCTGGTTTTGATTGGAAACATTTGGGTTATCTCCAGCATTTAAATCTAAGGGGTGAAAGTGTTTTGTTTCTTTGGTTTATGGGAGGAATTTGTGCTTTTGAAAAGATTTCTGTACAATTTAATTGATACTTGTGCTGTTGATTTTTGTTCTTCCCCCTTCCACTGCCTTTTTTTTTTTTTTTTTTTTTTTCCTAATTCATGCCTATTCACTTTCTCCTGGTAGAAAAGCTAAAATTAAATATCAGTGAAACTCTCCTCATGTTAATTTCATAGTCTGTGATGTTTGGTGGTATGTGCTAAGGCACATAGTTTGGGTTTTCAGAAGTGGCTACAGAAATTTCTCATTAAAATTTTGGTGGGAACTGGAGGCCTGATTCATGTGACTGGATTTGCAGAATTTTAAAACAAGTACTTGTGTGTAGGCTTCTTTAAAATGAGAAGTCTAATTGAGGCTCATATAATTCTTCCCTATAGCAAAACTGGTTGCAGTGGATGATAAGGAAGTTCTTCAAGAACTTGCAATAGTTTCTTATGTGTTCTCTTACGAGAGATGTTGTGCAATAAGCTGCATGGAATTATATTTAGACTCAGTAGACTGAGGAGAAGCCACATATGAGCTAGGGATTGGACCATACACTGGAAAAGGAAGCCTGTGTGCATTCTTATAAACACTTCTTAGCTTTTTCAGACAGTGTTCCTAGGACCTGCTGACTGAGACTTTAGAGAAAATGGTGTGGAAAAGAGAGGTCAGAGGTTCCCTTTTTCATTCCTGTCTGTTGTTGTCCAAGTGCATTGTGAAGAGAAGTGCTACAGAAAGAACTCCAGCTTTCTGTAGCATTAAGCATACATTATGCAGTTAATATTTTACCTACTGGTATTGCATAGTCCCCTCAGGTCCTCTATTCAGCTGTAGTTCAGGAGTTTCAATGCACTTTTGAATAGTTGGCACTTTCTGGTTCCCAGTATAGCATTTCAAATTACGAGTGGGCTTGACTTTTTAAGGAGATAAAAATGAGTGGTCAAAATGATGTTTAGAAAACTTTCACTGTGTGCTTTTTCTATATGCCTTTAAGCTACTGTTTCCTAAATTTAACTTTTTACTCATATTTTCTCCTCTAAGTCAGGCAACCTTGAGTCAGAAAAGCCTGTAGTCTCTTGCCTGTAGTGTAATTTAAGTGTACACCCTGGTACCTTTCTCCTCTAGTGCTGCTTAGGTGGTCCGGGCATGTCTGTTTCAGTTGCTGGTTATTTTTTCAATATTATGCTATAAACGCAGTACAGAACATCTGTATGATGGGGGAGTGGTAGAGCCTGTCTTTTGTAAGAAAGTATAAGTATTATATCCATCAAGTAAAATAATTTGAGACGTATTGTTGCTCCTGTATATTAGAGAAGGGTGCTTCTGTCCAAGAGTTTTTGGGGATACAGGTTTTGGGTTGTGAGGTGATGCTTGCTTTCTGCATAAACAGCAAGAGATTGAATAGCCCAGCACTGAGTTCTGAGAGCATCAGCACTAATTACAGTGAGCTCCACCTCTGTCCTGACCTTTTGGCATGGGGTTGTGGCTATGTGTCTTCAGGGAGATAACTAGCAAAATCTTGCCAGGTTAGATGCTGCATTGACAGGATGCCTTATGGGCTTAGAGCAATCTCTGTCAGAGCCATAAGCCACAGAGAAAAAAGACAGTACATAGCAGCTTGTCTTATACTGTAGGAGTAGAAATTTGGTTCAATACCTTCACAAAACACAGATTCGTATATATATGTATTTTATGTGTGTATGTGAGGTTGCTTTCTTTTATGGATTACACTATCTCTGCTGGGGTTATGGAAAACTTAAATCATAACCAGAATCCCAAGTTCACGAGTGACTGTACCAGTTTTCTCTTTTCTTTCCAGGAAGAGCATGCGTGCAGTGTTCAGTGACAGAATATTTAAGGTACGTGCACGTCTATGGCAAGTTCATCAGATGGTGTGACTGGCTATGAGCATCAGCTGAAGTTGAGCATGGAGATTGGGAAGTTCCAGCAAGCTGAGAAAAGGAACTATTTGGAAGAGTTCTGCTAGACATAGAAGAAGTGGAACACATTCTTCTGCAACAGTAATTGACTCAGAATAAATACACAAATTAAAAATCATCAGCAGTGAAATGATAGACCCTGGTGCTTTTTGATTTTCTGGCGGATTTTATTACTTAGGCATTGCTATTGACATTTTTATTATCCCATTTAGTACATCTTGAATCTGTCTGTAAATTAGAATATAACTGGACAATTGCATTTTGATTCTGTTTAATAACACTTTGAATGTTAAATAATTTGCCAAGATGAGTGCTGAAGGATATCAATACAGAGCTTTGTATGACTACAAAAAAGAGCGAGAGGAAGACATTGACTTGCACTTAGGAGATATATTAACTGTGAATAAAGGTACCTTACTAGCACTTGGATTCAGCGAAGGGGAAGAAGCAAAGCCTGAGGAAATCGGTTGGTTAAACGGCTTTAATGAAACCACAGGGGAGAGGGGGGATTTTCCAGGAACTTATGTAGAATACATTGGAAGAAAAAAAATATCCCCCCCGACCCCAAAGCCTCGTCCTCCTCGACCCCTTCCTGTAGCACCAAGTCCTGCAAAAGCTGAAGCAGAGAGTGAGCAACAAGGTTAGTACTGACTTCAGAAGATGTATGTGTGTGTTTCTGTGTACATGTCTGTCATATTTTTCAGATATTTTTGCTTCATTGGCTTATATGACTGTGTTTCCATGTCTTAACACATACTGGTCGGTGTTTTTTTTTTTTTTTAGTGCCTGCAATCCATTCAAACAATTAAGAATTATATGTACTTAAAATATTTAGCTCGTAAAATCTGTGGTCTCATGTGCTTTGTCTCAGTTACTTGTCACTGCAGTGCCTTACTGTGAAGTACATCTCTTAGATTTAAAGATATACTTAAAATTCACAACCACAAAGGCTAAAACGGAGAATGAATGAGCAGGTCAGCATTTATTTAAGGTTTCTAAGATGCTGATTGAAATGGTTTCTTCAGTTGTTAATCATGTAAAAAATTTTCTTGGTCAATCTGGTGGTACAAACTGCATAAAAACATCAAATTTGTATCATATTATCTGCTGTTAGCAACAGACTTACGAACTTTGTCACAAAGGTTTTCATCTGGCATTAAAGTAAGAGCAGGTGTTTAAAAATGAGTTGTAGAGTGATGAAGAGAAATTTGGGTTTAATTTCTATTTCAGGGTAGAGCATGCTGTAGAAAAAATAACCCTTATATAAACAAGGGAAATAACTTCCTTTGTATAAACATAATTTGCTTTCTGACCCACATTTGCTAAGTAGATTGGGCAGAGCTCAGGCAGGATGTGATTAGAATTCTTCTGTTAGTAGAAGAAAGTCTTAAGAATTGCAAAAAGCGGTAGATTTAAAAACAAAATAAGAAAGCCTTCATGTGTCTACTTTACGTACGTTCAGATATTAGAGCTTTACACAGAAATAAGCCACATCCATCTGAATCTGAGTCGTACATTGGTCTCTCACTTCCCAGAACTCTAGAATGTTTCATATTGCTTCAGCATCTAATACTTTAAATTCTCAATGTTTGTAACCTTTGGGAATAGGAGTTGTCGTATGTGATCCTGACTCCTGAATAGTATCGTTGCATTCTGCCTTCCTCAAAAACAATTGCGACATTTTGCAAAGTTCTGTTGTCAGTTTATCAGCTTCCATCCCAGTTCACTTACTGTGGTGTTATATTTAGGTGTGCTGGTAATCATCAAAGATAAAAGCAGAATTTTTAAAAATTGTATGCGGCAACAAAGCAGATACCTGGAAGAAGCATTTCTAGGTTGGTGAGGGCTTAATAATGAGTAGGCCAGAACTGTTTTGCATAGCAGTAGCCTTAAGTACTGAAGAAATGCTAGTTAGTGCATAGTATCTACATATACATCATCATTAGAGCAAAGGAAGGGGTCAGCTGGATGTGTGGCTACGTAGGTCGCACCTCCCTGAGCACTCAGCCTCTAGTCACACAAGTCTCATAGTTTCTCATTCGATTACTTCTGAATGTCTTTGCACTGGAATGAAATTTTTTTCTTCTTTGATAATTCCTTTCTTTAGATGCTATTATAGATCCTTTCTCTAGATGCTAAGATATTTCTTTTCTGTCTTAAGCCACTGGGATAGATGCTGAGATAGTTGTCTTCATCACATATAGCTGCAGAATAACCACCGCTTTATGTGTAGACACCTTGGTGTTAACAGGTTATTCTGAGAGGCAGAGAGCGGGTGGAAAATCTGTTCACATGTGCGCTGCGGTGAAGTAAGCATTACCCAAGGCTTTGATGCACTTAATGCTTTAAACATCATTAGTGCTTTATAACTGGCTTGGTCTTTGTGCTCATGCATGATGCTCATGTGCCACAGCTCTGTGTTGAGAAGTCTCAGCGTTAATCTTGCAGTTTCTGAGCTCCTGAGAATTGTGTTTGTAACAGGCCGAGTTCAAGGTTCTGGCTGCTGAAGTCTGAAATCCTGGTGCAGGTTTGGGGGAGGCTGTGCAGAAACACTTCAGATTCCTTGGGTTTAGATCATGCTCCCATCCTTAGGGACAAAGTCTCTCCTGACGTGAAGTTTACTCCTTCAGAACAGATTAGTGTTTTCATGCAATATGTTTATTTTTTAATAGTTTGGGTCTCTACAGAGTTTTGAAACAAGAAAGTGTTCTAATTTCTGAATTTTTTAATCTTAAAGTCTGTCTGGAGACATCATTATGTTATGCAGTGACGTTTTTAAGGATGAGCTTGCAGTCTAAACATATATTTTTCTGATTAAAAAAAAAAAAAGTTCCCATAATCTTTTTTAATTGAAGATTTTAAACTCCCTTGTAAATGGCCAGGCATGTTCAGCACCAGGAATTAGAGAGAAACACTGAAATACGAACTCCAAATGGCTGAAGAGATGGGGTAAATTGTTTCTAAGATTGTGAATACTTCAAAGAAATTGGGAAACTTAATTTTACTTGTGTCCTTTCACAGTTCTTTTTGCAGGAAAGAGCCAAGGCAGAGAGTGCTCCAAATGCTAGAAATAAGTGTGGGAAGTACAAGGAAAGAATACTATAAAAATCTAAATGAAAGTGCAGCCTTTTAAGTAAGCAGAATAGTAATAATAATAAAAAAAGATGCCTACAGTACCAGAAGTGCAGGAGGAAATACAGTTCAGTTAAAGATAAGAATAACACAGCAATGCACATCTGACTTTCAAAGAGCTTTGCTGTTTCTGCATTTGAAACTTGGTTCAGGGATTAGCGCAGTTAATATTGTCTGGCAGTCTGTGTCATGGGCAGTGACACTGCACCAATCTGCACCAGCAGATTCTTCCCAGGATAATACTTGTCTCTATACCCCAAAAGTATATTTCAAGTGAATTAATGAGAAGTATGAAACTTGCTTGACCAAATACAGTCAAGTTTACATTTTCAGCATGTAATGATTTGAAACCGCTGTGTATGAATATGACAAAATAATGGGAAACTGGAAACAGACTCCTTAAATGTATCTCAGTTATTTGTAATCCATATATTTTTTTCCTTCTGTGAGAAGACTATACTGTACATACCATGTGTGCATATTTTGAATAAGAACATTAGGAAGTGAATTGCGAATTTTTAAGATTTTGTATACAATTGTGAGCTTTAAATTTTACCATATGCATAGATTTTTTAAAAAAATTATTTTCTAATCACATCAGTAATCTCCAGGACTTCAGTTATTCTGAATGTTTCTTCCCAGCCTTGTTAATTGTGCTCACTTGCTCATCAGTATGCACGTTCTTTAGTGTTGGATCAAACTTGCAGTACTTACCACCACACAGCCAGGTGCTGCAGGTGCTGTGATGCAAGTAACAGTAGGCATCTAAACATCAGTGGGGCTGGTAACACTGGCAGAGCTGTCTATCAGGCTAGTGTCCTGTGTAGTCATACTCCTATTTACAAATTGGAAGGTCTTTTAAACATTGAAAGCTAATTTGAAAACAAATAAAACTGCTAGTGGTGTCAAGTTACGTTAAAGCATTTGTTTCCTTATTGTAGCACCTAGGCCAAATCTTTGTCCACGCTTCTATTTTATCAGTAACCCTTTTAAATTGATTGAACCACTGATCAAGACCAAGCAGAGAACACTTGAATGATATTCAAGAACTGTTGCATTTTTGTCCATTTTTTTTTTACGTTTCTGAGTGAAGAATTAGAGATCATGTGAGTTTGTTTTGGTTTTGCTTGCTGTTTTGTGTTATAATTGCATCTGAAAATACATGAAAAAGCAGAGGTTTCAGTTTCAGACGTTGGTCAGGGCAGAGCTATCGAGAGGTGGATTTCACCCACAGTCGGTGCGAGGCCATTGGCACCTGGCTTGCCATTTCTTCCCAGGCTACTGCCTGCACAGACGGACACCCAGCGCAGGGTCATTTCTGCATTTCCTCCAGACCCCTGGAGTTCATGTAAAGCAGAACTCAGACTTGATGTGAAAAACTCTTTATATTTTTTTCTTTCTTTCTTCTTTTTCCCACATTGCAGCTGCGTAGTTCTGATTCTTGTTTCCTCTGAGTTCAGCTGAGCCTTCTGAACTTTGATTAAGCTGATCTGGTACAACTATGTACTTTGGTTCATACAGTGGTGCTTCTCTACCAGGTATGAGTGAGTGGATTTTAACCAGACTTCAATGTATAAAGCTTTGATTGACAGAAATATTTTTCTTCACTTGAAATGCTAAATTCCCACTTGTAAGTGAAGGTCATTTTTGCAGAAGACAGACCAGAAATTTAATAGTAATCTGTGTGTTCTGATGTCTTGGAGCTTTCTGCTACTTCCTGTGAAACTTAAGATGATTGTTTATGTTGACAATACAATTTCAACTGTTTTAAAGCCTAAAAATAATCAGAAATTCTTCCTTCTTATGACAAAAAATAAATTTTAAGAAAAGAAAGTGACAAAACCATCAAAAAACAGCAGCTTTCTTCACTTTTCTCCTTGAACAGATAGGGATCAGCAGCTTAGACAAAGATAATGACAGAATATTTGGAAACTCTTTTCTATCAAAGACCAGGTTGTGCGGTGTCTGGCAAGGATCCAGACTGACAGAGAGGAGAAAACCATTTGTGCATGCTTGAAGTGAATGCGCTGCAGAATTTGTTTCTGTATTTAATTTTCCTATAAAATCAGTACAGAGATGGAGTTCATGAAAATTATTTACATTTGTTAAGTAGGGGATATAATAGCAAGTGGAATGCAGCAAGCTGGGAGCCTTCACTGGGAATGGAAGAGTCATCATCTCTCCTGATTCAAGAAAATGGAAAAAGGAAATCAGGGGGTGAAGTGATGAGTCACTATCTCATTTGGCGACTACATTTGCCACTCAATGCAGAGCCTTGGGCTTGTTCTAAATAGCCCAGTTTGAGAGCAAGTCTTCATTTGGCTAGCGTCATCAGAATGCCCTACAGTCACTAACTTTCAAAGCTGGTTGATTTTTGCTTGCAGTGAGAAAAGGGGCAGGTTAATGCCAGAAATCCTCACTATCTACTTCATCATAATGTTTCTCAGTGCATGAGAAACTTTGTATTTATAACTGCCAAATTACCATATTTCTGAAAACAAAGCTCTC